AAGCATCTGTCTTCGGCTCGGGATCGGGCTCCCTGCTCAGCAGGAAGCCTGCTTCTCCCTTTCTCCCTTTCCCACTCACCCTGCATGTGTTCCCTCTCTTGCTGTCTCTCTCTTTGTCAAATAAATCTTTAAAAAAAAAAAAAAATGTTGAAGTCAGAGAATGAAGGGGGTTTGGAACTCAGATGATCTTTAAATCACTTGACCGATGGAAGTACTTCAGTCTGTTTGGCTCAGGTCATGATCCCAGAGATCTGGGATCGAGCCCTGCATCAGGCTCCCTGCTCAGCGGGGAGGCCGGTTCTCCCTCTTCCCCTTACCTCGCTCTTGTGCGTGCGCTTGTGTGCTCTCTCAAATAAATAAAATCTTTAAAAAAAATAAAGCCCTTCAAGGGGAAGAAAGTGCACAGGTTTCTGCTCCTAGGTCCCTAAGTTTAAGGTGCAGATGATGACACTGTTTAGCGACCAAAGTCTGACAAAAATGATTGCTACCTCATGGTCTGATGCACCTGGGCTCTTTTGGCTTTGGGCTCTAAAAGGGGGCCTATCCTTTTTATCAGACCCAGGCGGTACCATTTTGCCTCTTCCCCAGGCTTGATCACTATGCCATCATCAAGTTCCCCCTGACCACTGAGTCAGCCATGAAGAAAATAGAAGACAACAACACACTTGTGTTCATTGTGGATGTCAAGGCCAATAAGCACCAGATCAAACAGGCTGTGAAGAAGCTCTACGACATTGACGTGGCCAAGGTCAACACCTTGATCAGGTGAGTAGGGCCTCGGTCAGGAGCCAGGAAACCTGCATGGAGTCAGAAGTAGGTTTCACAGTGTGAGCCTTACGAAATGAGCAGCTTCTGCTGTAATTCTAGTCCTTTGTATCTAATACGGACTTCTGAGGACACATTAGCCCTCCTGCCTCTAGGACTTGATGTATGGTGTTGGTGTTCATTTTCTTGATTCCCTACACCTCTAAACAGGCAGGCCTTAGAGAAGGCACAGTTTATGTCAGATTACCTGGACTTATGTCTTAAAATGTTCTGTGGTGTTCCCCACAAAGGGGAGTTGGCTTCATTTGTGGTTTGGTGGCATCCCTAGCCTCCTGTGCAAATGATGGAAAAGTCACTATCTGGGAAAGAATGACATGAACAAAGGAACCACTGATGTGCCAGAAAGACTAGGGGGAAAAGGGAGGGCTTGGGGCCAGTGAGGGTGGGAGGAATTATGACTTCTTTTATCCTAGGCCTGATGGAGAGAAGAAGGCATATGTTCGACTGGCTCCTGACTATGATGCTTTGGATGTTGCCAACAAAGTAAGCTTCCTTTGCTATCAACTCATCTGCCACCTGGGTCCAAGTGATGTGTCTGCTAGTAACCAAAACCTGACCTTAATAGGCTCTACCCTCACCTCATTTTGCTTTTTAACCATGACATTTCAGCTCCCAGTAACAAAGCTCCCCTTTTGTTTTTCAGATTGGAATCATCTAAACTGAGTCCAGCTGGCTAAATCTAAATTAAATTTTTTTCACCATTTGTGTTTCTTTGTTGGTTTCTGGTTGGGCTTTGGGGGAGGCCATACTATGGTATACACACACTTAACAGGGCTTGGGCAAGACTTTGGTCTACTTACCCTGTTGGAACACTCTGCATTATTACTTCCCCACGCTTGTTAATCCTGGCATTGGGAGCTCAGGTATTTGTTACCAGATTGGGAGTTCGTTGTCCTAGGACAACTACAATTTGCCACCATCATGGGGGTAAGGGAACAAACAAGAATCCCTCCTTTTATCTGGAAGGGGCTTTGTAGAAAACGAGTGCACAAAGTTCTCATTAGCATCCACTCCAGGGCAGTGTGGACTGGCTGGCTTTCATAGCACCTGTCCCCACCCCCAACGACCATGTCCAACCGGTTGGTCTGCCTCCCTCACCCCTTGCCCAAGAAAGGACAAGGACTTCAGAGGAGTGCTTTCATTAGCATTTTCAATAGTAGGTGCAGAGGATGCCCCAGGCCTGGGGCTAATTCTCGTATGTGTGAGGCTGTTCTTGGCTGTGTTTGCTCTTGCCACAAGTTGCAGGCTCTGTGCCTCTCACTCTGTCAAAAACTTGTCTTTGTGTTGCTGGCTGGGGACACGCTCAGGGCAGAAGTCTGAGCGGAGAAGGCGAGAAAAGTAGATGAGGATCATGATGTCCAGCATGAGCAGGTTACCCAGCAGAAAGGTGCCCAGGGTCCTCTGGCCCAAATAACGCAGGAAGAAGTGGGTGAGGTAGGCCTGAGGGGCCAGACGGAAGACAAAGTACATGACCAAGTTGACATACTTGTTGACCCGGTACAAGAGGAGGTGCTGGGCATTGTTTATCTTCATCATCATGCGGATGGTGAGGAAGATGTTGCTGACCTCTACCAGCAATGTTAGGACTCCCCCGCCGACAAAACTGTTCAAAAAGATGCCTGAAAAGAAGGCACCCAGGGCCTAGAAGGCAAGGGAGATAAACATGTTAGGGAACCCAGATACCATGGCTTTCCTGAAAGCTGGTGGGAATGACGGCTGAGAAATCCATCCTTACTGGCTTCCTTCTGGATTATAGCTTAAGGTGGATTCAACATGATTAAATTTTGATCCCTGCCCACAGATTCTGGCTCTGGGTGGGGTTTCCAGTCTGTTCAAGGAGATAATAGGTAAGGCCATGGATTGCCGGCCTCAAAAATTTACTCACCAAGGGCACAGGAACTGCCAACCCTCAGTGTCCTGGCATGAGATGGAGAACACGGGTTGGAAATGGGGTTAAAAAAGATGGTCTTTACCTCCCAGGTTCAGAAAGGGCTGAGACCAGGTTGCTAGCACCAGGCCTACACCACATCCCCTGCTTCTCATTTACCATGAGGTGATGAACGAGGTATTCCCAAGAAGCTTGTGTCTGACGACTAACCACGATGTCCACCGTGTCGTGGATGAAATACCCTAGCGGGGGTGATGGGAAAAGGTCATGAAAGGAACTGAACAAAAAGCTCCCTGTTCCCGCACCTTCTTATTTTCTGGGCAAGACCTACCGGCAGAGAAGCAGGCAAGCAGATAGCCAGAAAGCGACCATGCCGTCTCAATCTCCACCAGCATCTCGGGGGTCTGCCATAGACTGGGAGGGAAGAAGGCCGTCTCTCAACATTTCCGCATCCCCAAGGACCCTCTACTCCCCCATTACCCCTCCCAGTCCCCGGGGAATCTGGGCTCGCGCTATTGGCTTTGTGGGAAGTGAGGAGAGGCTTGGCTGAAACCCAGGTGTCTCCCGGTTCCCAGATGAGCTTTCCCCCCCTTCCCTGGGACCTCTGCCGCCCTAGTTGGAGAGCTTTCCAAGCAGGGAATCAGGTGAAACTGCAAGGCCTGAGCATGCCAGAGAGTGATGCGGAGAGTAACGTGGGATCCCCCAGCCACCCACCTTCACTCCCCCAGTCCTTCACTCACCACAGCAGCGCCCAGACCCCGGACACAATGGAGTGCGCGAAGGAGACGAGCAGGTTGTGCCAGCGCCAGGTGCGCAGGGGGTCGGCGCGCACGTGTGCCGGCAGGGGCAGGCGGCTGAGCGCGCGCCGGAGCGCCCGGAAGGTCAGCGTGGCGCCCAGGAGCAGCGGCAGGGCGGGGTGCAGCAGTGGGGGCATGCTGGCCCTCCCTGCAGTCTGTCTGTCTGCCCCCTAAGCCGCCTCGTCGGACTGCTCCGGGAGCGGGGCTCCTCTCCGGCCAGCCCACACCCGCCGACTCCCCGCCGGCCGCCAGCCTCACACAGTTTTCGCGTTGCCCTCTAGGCCCCTGTACTCCTCCCGGCTCCTCCCCGCGGGCCTCTGCCCCCGCCCCCAGCCGCTCCCGCCCCGCCCCGCCCCTGCCGCCTGTCCCAGCCCCTCCGGCGCCTCGGCGGCACCGAGGGCCAGAGCCCCATTTCCCGGGGGCCTCCGGGCCCCGCCTGGCTCCCGCGGATTTCGGGCGAAAGGGGGCTCTCCTGGGGGGCGCCGACGCCGCGGCACCCCTCGCTGGCGCCTCCCGACTGCCGACGGAGTCCCGCCTCGCTTGCTTGGCCTCATTAACCTGCATCCCCACTTTCCCCGGGGCTACCGGCTCCCCCGCCTGGGCGGGTACTGAGAGAACTGTCTCTCCGCCCTCAACTCCTTTCTGGGCAGAGCGGGGCGGGGCCCCTCGCACACCCGCGTCCTTTAGCCCGGATCCTGGGGAGGGGTCCGAGCCCCGCCTCGATAATGGTCTCCGCCCATACCCTCTTCTTCCACTGGATCTCTAGCTTCTTCAGGCCCGAGACGGGCATGTTATCAGCTTCTACGGCGCCCCGCATCGGCTCGGTGCCTAGAAAGGGTTGACTAATCCATCGCCCTTCTTCCCAGCCCGCTCTTGGGCTGCTGGGGCCGAGCGGCTGTCACAGTACTCCCTCAGTCCCAGCTCTTCTCCTGGCTCCCTGGAGTCTGGCACGAGGAAGACCGCCGATTTGCCCGGGCTGCTGGGGTGACCCTTAATCTTCAGGACAGTGGCCTGGAGCAGTTGCAGCTCGTGGTCACTAGGTGTCAGCCTATCCCCACCTTGGCGCGGGATTCCCCCCCCCCCCCCCGCCTCCAAAGGTGCGAAAGGGGGAAAGGCTGAGGACCCGAGGCTGGGGTGGTGGTAGAGGAGAGGACGGCAGTGGGGCGGGAGGGGAGGCGGGGCTAGGGAAAAGATGCTGCGAGAGGGAGGGAAAGCTAGAGGGACCAAGAGGTTTGGGTGTTTGCGTCCCTTGATGGCTCCAAGGTTACATATTAACCCCTGTGGGGTTCCTGGGTCAACCACGGCCCGACAGGTTTCCAGGTGAGAGCACGAGTGTCCCGAGTTGTGAGGCTTTTCCCCTCTGCGCTTCCCTTTGCTCACAGGGCAGCTTTGTTCATCAGCCAACAGAAGCCTGAGCCACGACCGAGGGCCTCTCGTGGGGCCCCTCTAGTGGTCTTTCCACGTGGGCAGGTTTGAATACCCTTTTGAGTGGTGGGGCGGGACAGAACATAAACACTCCTTTCCTCACTCAGAAATAGGGACGCTGTCTCTTTGCTAATCACCATCCTCTCGCTCCTTAACTGAGTTTTTATGGAGCTCGCACAGAGCAGGAGGCACAGGGAGACAACAGCAATTAAACTCACTTCCGGTCAAGACCCTAGACAATCGTACTAACCAGCCCCCTACGTTTAGGCAGAAGCCTTGAACCCACATCGGTCAAACAGCTCTCCTCTTCCTCTTCTCTCTGATGCTTTCAGATAGTGGTCCACTTCCCTCTCATCTTCCCCCCCCAAGGAGATTCTCCCTATAGTTGAGGGTTGAAGACGGATTACATGCGGCAAAGTTGTGTGTGTGCAGGGCGGGGGGGGCGGGGGTGATGACGAGAGCGGTACTCACTTGTTGGGACAGCCTGGAGTTTCCTCCTCCCTAGGTGAATCAATGTGCACGGCTTGGTGTTTCCCCGGTCCCTCCCTAGGCAAACACGAAACTAACCCTGCTCCCTGCCCCACAGACCGAGAGTGCTGATCCTCTCGGTACAGTTTTGACTGTTTATCATTTGCGTGCCAATGAGAATCCGCTCTCTCCTTCCCAAATAGTGTCACTAGTGCGCAAAGAAGTGGGGGGAGAGGGGCGCCTGTCTTCGGCTCAGGACATGATCTCAGGGTCCTGGGGTGGAGCCCCGCTGGGGCTCCCGGCTCAGCGGGGAATCTGCTTCTCCCTCTGCCTCTTCCTCTCCCCCCTCTCCTGCTCTCTCTCTCTGTCTCAAATAAATAAAATCTTTAAAGTGGGCTGAGAGAGGTTGGCCCTTGCTTTTCACCCTCACTGGTTGTGCAGGGCACCCCTCCGGTCTAAGGAAGTCTTGTGAGGGCCGGATGCGAACACGTGTGCAGGGAATGGCTGGTACCGTTCTACCTGCCAAGCGCGCCAAGAGCTGGCATAAAACCTCATTTCTGGGACTCTGAAAAAGCAACCGTGGGCGGGGGCTGCAAGGACTGTGTAAACAGCGCAAGATAGATGCAAAGCTGAAACCCACACCCATCTCACTTGCTCCGCCCCGCAATTATCTTGCAGCGTAGGGGGCGTGGCCCTAGAGTGGGCGGGTCCGCGCACGCGCTGCGCCTGGGTGGGGGGGTTCCGGAAATGTGACTCAGAAATAAGATGGAGAAGTACGAGCGGATCCGAGTGGTGGGGAGAGGTGCCTTCGGGTGAGCCAGGGATCTGGGGAATGGAGTTGGTCGGGGAGAGGGAAAATGAGCCCCAACTCTGACCGGGAATTCGCTGCCCTGTTAGCCGCGCCCCGAGGCGTGAGCGCCCGCTCGGAAAGCCCCGCCCAGGCTTCCGGTCCCGGGCCCAGCTGCGAGACTCCGCCTCTAACGAGGTCCCGCCCCCGACAAGCCTGTGCGCCTCCCCAGAGTTCCGTTCTTTGATTCCTGACTCATTCATTCAACAAATATTGAGTGCCAACTCTACCGGTCAGGCTCTCGGCTCCGACTGTACAGTAAAGACCAAAATAGGCGTGGTCTTTCCCTCTCGGAGCTTACAGACTGTGGTAAAATAATACAACAAGATATTAAAGCAGTTATTAACAAAGCTGCGAGCGTGGCATACACCGGGGGTACTTATTTGGGGAGGGGTCAAGGAAAATTTCTCTGAGAGGTGAAGTTTAAAGCCAAGACTTGCGGAATGAAAACCAGAAATCCGAAGGTGAAGGCAGAGCTTTCCAAGCAGAGGAAGCAGCATATCCTCACGCGGGAAAGAAGGAATTCAGAGTATTCAAGGAACTGAGAAAAAGACTGGTGAAGTTGGAATGTAGTGGTCGTGTAGTATGTAGTAGGTAAAGAATTATATATATATGTATGTATATATATATATATATATGAAGAATGGCTTAAAATGTGATTGTCACAGAGGACAGATGATGGCCTAATAGGCTGAGGTGAAGAGGTTGAATTTATTTGAAGTGTAAAAGGGAAGGGGTTTAAGCAGAATGAATGGTCTTGATATGATTTTGCATTTTTAAAATGTCACTCTGGCTGCTGTGTGGAACTTAGATTTGAGGATGACAGAAGTGAAAGGCACCATTTTATTTTATTTTATTATTATTTTTTAAAGATTTTATTTATTTATTCATGAAAGACAGAGAGAGAGAGAGAGGCAGAGGGAGAAGCAGGCTCCCAAGGAGCAGGGAGCCCGACGCGGGACTCGATCCCAGGACCCTGGGATCATGACCTGAGCCGAAGGCAGATGCTTAATCATCTGAGCCACCCAGGTGCCCGAAAAGCACCATTTTAAAGGCTATTGCAGTACTTTAGGCAAGAAATAATGATTTGGTCAAGGGTTATAGCAGAGGTCAGAGATGGTTGAGTTCATAATATGTTGGAGGTGGAAACAGGATTTACTGATATATTAGTGTGAAATGAAAGAAAGATTTTGGCATGATTTTCAGGTGTCTGACTTTAATAATGGTGTCAGTAACTGAGATGGAAGAGACTGAGGAAGGAAAGGGTTTGGGGGCAGAAATCAAAAGTTTTATTTTGAATTTCTTAAAATTTAGGATGCGGGGTGCCTGGGTGGCTCAGTCAGTTAGGCAGCTGCCTTCCGCTCAGGTCATGATCCCAGGGTCCTGGGATCGAGTCCCACGTCGGACTCCTTGCTTAGCGGGGAGCTTGCTTCTCCCTCTGCCTGCAGCTCCCCCTGCTTGTGCTGTTCACTCTCGCTCTCTCTCTCTGACAAATAAATAAATAAAATCTTTTTAAAAAAATTTAGGATGCTTGGAAGCCATTCAGGTAGAAAGCAAAGCAGGTAGTTGGATGTGTGAGTCTGGGGCTCAGAGGAGAGGTTTGAGTTGGAAATATAAATTTGATACTTAGATGATCACCTTACAGTCCATTCATTCAGCAGATATTCATTGAGCTCCTACTGTGTGCTAACTACGGGTCTCTGCTCTGGGGATATAGTTGTGAAGGAGAACAAGGACCCTGCGTTTATGGCCACTGACCAGAGTTGGAAGAAAATAATAGTATGGGGGCGCCTGGGTGGCTCAGTCATTAAGTGTCTGCCTTCGGCTCAGGTCATGATCCCAGGGTCCTGGGATCAAGCCCCTCATCGAGCTCCCTGCTCGACAGGAAGCCCGCTTCTCCCTCTCCCACTCCCCCTGCTTGTGTTCCCTTTCTCACTGTCTCTCTCTGTCAAATAAATAAAATCTTAAAAAAAAAAAATACAGCTTCCTACAGCTTCCACGCATAGAGCAGTTTTTATGTGCCAAGCTCCGTGCTAAGTGCCTTACATGCATTTTCTCATTTGATCCTCTCAACAACCCAGGGAAATTGATTCTGTTTTCCAGATGAAAATGTCATATAATCCCAAACCAGGTAAGTAGTAAGAGGAAGAGCCAGAATTTGAACCCAGGTGGTTAACTCCAAAGTCTATGGGAACTTAGGAAGATCAAGACTAACTTCACTGTGCCTCAGGTTAAATGACTTGCCCAAGGTCTCACACAGTGTTTGTGGTTAGTTCTCCTTTTTCTGAAACTCGGTGTTCTACACATTTAGTTAGCTGACCTCTTAGTCTCTGTGCCTATTTCCCCTCTCCTAAGGAACATCCAGTGACCAGGTGTGCCCTGCCTGATGTGTGGCTGGAGGCTCAGCTGGGACCCACCCCTGTGCTCTGTGTCCCCAGGATTGTGCACCTGTGCCTGCGCAAGGCTGACCAGAAGCTGGTGATCATCAAGCAGATCCCAGTGGAGCAGATGACCAAAGAAGAGCGGCAGGCAGCCCAAAATGAGTGCCAGGTCCTCAAGCTCCTCAACCACCCCAATGTCATTGAGTATTATGAGAACTTCCTGGAGGACAAGGCCCTCATGATTGCCATGGAATATGCACCAGGTGGGCCAGCCTCCTTGCATTGGCCTGGCTCCAAGGGCCTCTCACCTCTGGAACAGGCAGATACAGATCACCCAGCTTTCCTCCTCAGAATGGGTTGGACTGAGGGTCAGAGGTATAGAGTTGTGGCCCCAGTTGTGTGAGGCTGGCAGGCCCTTGCCCTGTCTGGGCTGGTAGCTTCTCAACAGGAGAGTGCCAGGCATGGGAAAGCCTAGAGCTTAACTAGTTCCTTGCGGCTGCAGGTGGCACCCTGGCTGAGTTCATCCAAAAGCGCTGTAATTCCCTGCTGGAGGAGGAGACCATCCTACACTTCTTTGTGCAGATCCTGCTCGCGCTGCATCACGTGCACACCCATCTCATCCTGCACCGGGACCTCAAGACTCAAAACATCCTTCTTGACAAACACCGCATGGTTGTCAAGATTGGTGACTTCGGCATCTCCAAGATCCTTAGTAGCAAGAGCAAGGCCTACACGGTGCCTGGGCACAGAGGGGACCTCAAGGGTGCCAAGGCTCACTGTGCATCCCAACCCCCTCCCTCCCCAAGACCTTGGCCCCTTAGCCCCTGGCTGGGTGGTCCTGCAGGGAGAAGCAGTCTCTGGTGGGCCCCGGACAGGGCCTTCCCTCCCCTGAGCTATAATAATATCCATTTCCCTCCTGCAGGTGGTGGGCACCCCATGCTACATCTCCCCTGAACTGTGTGAGGGCAAGCCTTACAACCAGAAGAGTGACATCTGGGCCCTGGGCTGTGTCCTCTACGAGCTGGCCAGTCTCAAGAGGGCCTTTGAAGCTGCGGTGAGTTATACCCCCAAAGAGACAATTGGGAAATCCCTATCTCCCTCCCCTGGAAGTCCTTGGCTCCAGCCACTTCTGTGTTTCGTCTATTTTGGCTGAGTTGTTTCCCTCATCAGACTGGTAGATTACCCCAGGGCAGGGCTGTGGCTTCCCTCAGGCTTGGGTCCCCCATGAAACCGAGGACTCCTGAGGGCACCAGACTAGGGACCCTCCTAAGGGCAAGATGTGAGTTCTCCCAATCCCCTAGGGTTTCTGAGGACATAGCTGCAGCTCCCCTATGAAGAGTTTCTCTCACTGGGAGTCCCCTGGTCAGACTGCAAGTTCTGAGTGCGGGGCTCTGCTCTGACCACCCCATTAGACCTGGAGGCGGGAGGTGCTGCCTCCCAAGAGCCTGGCCCAGGCTCTGGCCACCCTCACTCTCGGTGCTTCCACAGAACCTGCCAGCGCTGGTGCTGAAGATCATGAGTGGCACCTTTGCACCCATCTCTGACCGGTACAGCCCTGAGCTGCGCCAGCTCGTGCTCAGTCTGCTCAGCCTGGAGCCCTCCCGGCGGCCGCCGCTCAGCCACATCATGGCACAGCCCCTCTGCATCCGCGCCCTCCTCAACCTTCACACCGACCTGGGCAGTGTCCGCATGAGGAGGCCTGTGCGGGGAGTGGGGGCGGGGGCCCCCAGTGGGAGCACAGTAAGCCTGCGTGCGGGGGTGCCAGGAATGGTCCGTGTCCTGAAGCCCCCGTTTGACCCACAGGGCAGAGAAGTCCCTGGTCCCCGGGCCACCCATGGCCCCCGGCGGCAGCACAGGGAGCAGGAGCACCGGCGCCCGCTGCAGGGGTAAGTCAGAGCCGACCGCCGGTGCCCACTGACGCCAAGCCATTCCCATCAGTTTAATCGGTCCGACGCGCTGTCCCGCAGGCATACCCCGGGGACACCCACGGCCGGCCATTCCGCCACCGCTGTCGTCCGTGTACGCGTGGGGCGGCGGGCTCAGCGCCCCGCTGCGGCTGCCAATGCTCAACACAGAAGTGGTCCAGGTGGCAGCCGGACGCACGCAGAAGGCGGGCGTCACGCGCTCGGGGCGCCTCATCCTGTGGGAGGTGAGCAGGCTGGGGGGCGGTGGCTGGATGCTCGGGGTTGGCGGGGCGGGGCCGGAGGGGCCGCTCAGGCACCGCCCACGGCCTCCCGCAGGCCCCGCCCCTAGGCGCCGGAGGGGGCGCCCTCCTGCCGGGGGCCGTGGAGCAGCAGCTGCCCCAGTTCGTCTCCCGTTTCCTGGAGGGCCAGTCGGGCGTGACTATCAAGCATGTGGCCTGCGGGGACCTCTTCACAGCCTGCCTGACCGGTGAGTCCAGCAGGGGACTATCCTGGGGCATCCCACGGCGTCTCAGAAGGCCCCCAGAGCAGCTCCCCTCGTTGGTTGTCATTTGCTCACTCCTTAATGCTCCTCTCTACTCGATAGCCTGCACCAGGTGCTTTATTATTATTTTTTTAAAGACGTGTTTATAATTTTTAGAGAGAGAGAGATGCTTTACTTACACAATCTCCTTTACCCTTCACAATAGGCCTGGCCAGGTAGTTACTGTATATTATCCTCAATTGAGGGAGGCTCAGAGGCAGATCTGGAAAGCTCCGATCTAAAGCTCAGAGAGGGGGAGGCGCCTGGGTGGCTCAGTCGTTCAGCGTCTGCCTTCAGCTCAGGTCATGATCCCAGGGTCCTGGGATCGAGCCCCACATCGGGCTCCCTGCTCCGCAGGAAGCCAGCTTCTCCCGCTCCCACTCCCCCTGCTTGTGTTCCCTCTCTCACTGTGTCTCTGTCAAATAAATAAAAAATCTTAAAAAATAAAAATAAAGCTCAGAGGCTGTTACTTGACCAAACTCCCACGAAGAGACACCGTGCCTGTCCTTTTCTGCCCCCTGTGCCATTCTTCCAGCCTTTGCTTCCAACTTCTTGCTCCTCCAACCCATGGACTGGCCTCTCTGGAAAACAGCCCAACCTCTCTCCCTTCTCTTTCCTCACCAACCCCCTCTGCAGACCGAGGTATCATCATGACCTTTGGCAGTGGCAGCAATGGGTGCCTAGGCCATGGCAGCCTCAATGACCTCAGCCAGGTAGGTGCTGCAGGTACCTTGGGGAGGAGGTGGAAGTGGGGAGACGGCAAGGAGCCCACATCTGACAGCTGACACCAGAGTTGGAGGCCGGGGATCCCCAGCAGCCACAGGTCCCTCTAGCTCCCAGGCTGCACCTGTTCTGGGCAACACCAGGGAAGTACAGAAAGACCAGGCTTCCGCAGTGGTTGGAGGGAGAGAGAGAGAGAGAGTGTGTGTGTGTGTGTGTGTGGCGGGTGTATGTGTGGCAGTTAAAGACACAGCTGTCTCGTGAGAATTTGCAGCCTCCAACTTCTTCATCCCTCCACGAGATGCTGAGGCCAGGCAGCTGGTCCAGGCCCCTTGCCTAGTCTCTCTTGCTTCCCCTCTCTCTCTAGCCCACCATTGTGGAGGCCCTGCTGGGCTACGAGATGGTGCAGGTGGCCTGTGGGGCGTCCCACGTGCTGGCCGTGTCCACTGAGCGAGAACTCTTTGCGTGGGGCCGTGGCGACGGTGGTAAGCCCTCCACCCTATTCCAGGCTCTAGGCTCCATCTCACACGCCTGACTGGGAATGGTTCCTCTTCATACCCGCCTTCCGCCCCATGGCCCCTTCTCCCTCCTTTCTTTTCCAATTCCACTCATTTCTTGATTTAACAAAACTTTACTGCACATCTACTAGGAGATCCTCCTTGTGCTGGGTGCAGAGACAATATGAACAGGAGTCCCTTCCTTCAGGTGCTTATGACGTAATGAGAGAGCTTTTTCATCCGGCAGTACTTACGGTGTCCCTCTCTGGGTCAGATGTCATGCTAGGCATTTGAAACCAGAGAGGACTTACACGGGGTTTCTGTCCTCCTGGCAGACTCACCCTAGTAGGGGGAGGGATGACATCTCCCTGCAATAAAGGACAGACAGCATCAGGGCTCCCCCCAGGGTCCAGAGATGTGGGAACCCGAGGAATGGCATGGGACGTCCCTGGAGAAGACAGAGTTGGCACCTGAACAGGGCCATGAGGAGGAGTAGGATTTTGGCCACAGAGGGCCCAAGGTTAGGTATTTCCAGCTGAGGGTACAGCCTTCACTCACGAGGTTACCTCCTCTCCGTGGCTGCTCCTCATCCTGGCATCACCAACCCTAAAACCCAGACTAGCCCCATCCTGGTTTCTCCCTGTAGGCCGGCTGGGACTGGGCACCAGGGAGTCTCACAGCTGCCCCCAGCAGGTGTCCATGCCCCCAGGACAGGAAGCCCAGCGGGTGGTATGTGGCATTGACTCCTCCATGATCCTCACTGTCCCTGGTCGAGCCCTGGCCTGTGGGAGTAACAGGTGAATGGGTCCCCTGGCATGACCAGCCTGCTGCTCCCCCTCCCTGGCCGCTAATGCTCCATCTGTCATGGTCTCCCTTCCACCGAGGGTCCGAACTGAGGGTAGGGCTGAGTGCTGCTGGGTTCAACCCAGGGTGGGATCTGTCCCCTGGGGACCAGCTCTTGCCCAGATTGGTGGGGTCGGTCGGGTCTATGCAAACCATCAGTCGGACTTGGCTTCTGGCTCCACCTTCAAGGTTCAACAAGCTGGGCCTGGACCACCTCTCCCTGGGGGAGGAACCTGCCCCCCACCAGCAGGTGGAGGAGGCCCTGAGCTTCACACCACTAGGTTCTGCACCCCTCGACCAGGAGCCCCTGCTCAGTGTGGACCTGGGCACTGCTCATTCAGCTGCAGTGACTGGTGAGTAGGACCCAGGCACAGGAGGCCACAGGTCGACTCTCCTGGCCTCCTCAGGATCTCAGCTGAGGCACCCCTTTGCTTCCTCTCCTCTTTCCTCCCCTACAGCCTCTGGTGACTGCTATACTTTCGGCAGCAATCAGCATGGGCAGTTGGGCACCAATGCCCGCCGGGTCAGCAGGGCACCCTGTCAAGTCCAAGGCCTGCAGAATATCAAGATAGTGATGGTGGCATGTGGGGATGCCTTCACTGTAGCCATTGGGGCAGGTGATTCATTAGTGGGCACTATGGGGGCGGATGGGGTGCTGGCAGGCCCATGAGCAGTGTGTGTTGGGTGGAGGGGGGGTAGTTTCCTGCTCAGGGCTCCTGAACCTCCTACTGGGGCCAGTACGGCAATCCAGGAGGGAAGCTGCTTTGCTAAGCTGTGTCCTCCTGTTTCCGTCCTTGGGATTCTCTTCGGCAGAGGGTGAAGTGTACTCTTGGGGCAAAGGGGCCCGAGGCCGACTAGGAAGAAGGGATGAGGATGCTGGACTCCCTCGGCCAGTGCAGCTGGATGAGACACACCCCTACACAGTGACTTCTGTGTCGTGTTGCCATGGAAACACTCTCCTGGCAGTCCGCCGTGAGTTGTAACTTTCCGCCTCACACCCACAAGGGTTAATCCAGCGCGTCCCTGCCCACACTCCCATCCCCCAGTGGTCACAGCCCAAAGCACTAAAAGCATCTTAAGCCCCCAGATAAATGAAAGCAGAAGCTGCAGGGTAAGACAGCTTCCTGCCTGGGGAGGGCAAGGGAGTCAGTCAGCCCTTCTGAAGGGCTGTTCCCAGTGCTTCCCGGGGCCCAGAGGCATTCTTTCTCCTACCCCCAATCCCATTTAGTTTGAACCTCTGTTTCTGGCCGGTCAGGGTCCAGAGTCCAGGGCCCAGTGTGGGAGTGGGAACGGAGGTGGGTATCCCTTGCTAGAGGCACTGCCCTCAGGGCGGCTGCAGGGGTTTCTCGTTTGTACCCACCAGCGGTTACAGATGAGCCGATTCCACCATGAGGCACCTAGATACGTCCCTGGACCACCCTGATATTGCTGCTCCTCGGAACGTGCTTGAAAACTGCAGCCGCCTGCAGCAAGACTGTCCCCACCAGCCCCCTGGAGGGGCCTCAGTGTGTGGCAGAAGAACCAGGGAAGCAGCCACTCTCCTTTGGCCCTGGACCCATAAACCTCAGCCCACCCTGTTCCCCCAACATCTCTCTTTTCTCTCCCCACCGCTCTTAAGTTGGTGTCCCCAGGGTCCAGACTGGCTAGAGTCGGAAAGCCGACCCAACCTTCCAAAGCAGGGTGGCCTCCAGAGTCTTGGCAGAAAAAAGCTGGAGGCAGCTGCGGCTCCACCCAGACCCTGCCCTTTCCCCCAGCCCAGTTAGAAAATAAGCCGCTGGTGCCCCCTGGGAGAGCAGCTCAGTGCTCTGGAGCAGGGCAAGCCCCGTCCTGCCTGGACTGGCCATTCTGGCAGCCTGGTTTCTGCATTGCCTGGGACAGGGAGCCTCCCCACCCACCCCCACTCCGAGATCGAGGCACAGATTTGCTGCACAACTTCTGAGCGGACTGGGAGTGCATCTGCAAGGGCACCAAAGTGTCTACTGCAGAGGGGGATCCCTGCTGAAGGTTGTCCCTCACCCCAGCCATTCCCCCAAAGCAGGTTGGGAGAAAGGGTAGCTGGCTGGGCCAGACTAGTTTTCCAGATGACTGGGAAATCGCGCCAATAAAAACATCAGCTGCCTGCCTAGAATGTGGTCTCTTCGGGGGGGGGGGATGGGGTGGCGGCCCGACACCCCAGGGCTGGGCAGGGCCGCGGTCCAGGGAGGAATGTGGGCGCAGCCTGAGGCTGGGGCCGAGGTTCCTCTGGCCCAGCGCCCAGCTCGGCTTCCCCGCGCCAGCCCAGCTCCCCAGATCTGGTTGCCAGGCTTCAGCTGCCTAGCACCTGCAAGCTGGAGTCCCGGGCCCCAGGGCGACACGTGGCCCCCCGAGACCGAGCTGTTGACTCGGGAGAAGCGAATCTTTGTGGCGCGGCCCAGCCCGGCCGCCGGGGCCCTCCGGCCCATCCAGCGTCAGGGCGCCCCCAGCCCCGGGGAGAAGCGGAGCCACGATCTCTCTTCCGAAAGGGAGAGAGGAGCCCGCGCTCGGTGGAGGGCGCCAAGCTGGCGGTCCGCCGACCCCGACGCCGCGAAACCGCGAGGTGGGTGGGAGCTGGGTGCGGTGGGCGCTAGGACCGCGCGGGCGCGGCTCCACCCCCTCTTCCGGCGGGCGGGCTCGGGGGGCTGGGCGCAGGCCGCGGCCGCCAGTCGCCGCCGCCCGGAGCCGGGAGCGCGGCCGGAGCGAGGCGCGGGCTGTGGGGCCGCCGCGTGCCCGGCCCCGCTTGCCCGTGCCCGGCGCTCGCCCGCCCGCCCGCCATGCCCGGCTTCGACTACAAGTTCCTGGAGAAGCCCAAGCGGCGGCTGCTGTGCCCGCTGTGCGGGAAGCCCATGCGCGAGCCGGTGCAGGTTTCTACCTGCGGCCACCGCTTCTGCGACACCTGCCTGCAGGAGTTCCTCAGGTGCGGGCCGGGGGGAGCGGGGAACGGCCGTGGCCGTGGCGAGGGGGGACGGCGCGTGGGGAGGGGCCCAGGCCGGAGGCACGCCGGGCCTTTGTCTGCGCCGCGGCTCTGTGACCTCAGGGGCGCCCACCGTGACGTCACGGGGCGGCGGTGACGTCAGGCCCCGAGGGAGGACTCCAAGCGCTAATCCGAAGGGTCCCGGGGCCCTTCGGAAGAATTCGGTGCCTGACCGAGGGGTGGAGGTGGGAGAACACGCCCTTCCTGACCCGTGGCAGGCCCTCCCCCTCACCTGAAAGCCGGAGCGGCCTCATCCTTGAACTTTGAATCCGTAAGGGAAGAGGACAGAATCTTCTGTCCCGCACAGTACCTTAAGCCTCTGGAGTTTCCGCCCAGCTAATCTCTTCTGATCCTAAGAACGATCCGAGAACGGCAGCTATTGTTCTCCCATTTCACAGATGGTGAAACAACAGATTCAAAGAAAGGCTGCGACTTGCCCACGGTCACACAGTTACTTAAAGGCTGAACTGGGATTTAAGCCCCAGCTGCTTTTGGTCGTACAACAGAGGGAGGACTGTGATGCTACAGATCGGCCCTGAAGCAGTGGGACCGCTCGGTGTCCCTCCTTGCCCCTGGGGATCTTGAGTACCAAGGGTGGTCCGTAAATCGTGAGGTGGGGGGGTCGCACTTTGGGTGTTACTGAACCAGGGATCCAGGTGACCCCTTGGCTCTGGGGCATCTGTTGAGTTCTGGGCGCTTTGCGGTGTCCCGAATCTAAACTCCTTTGCTGGAAACTGTTCAGGCCCGGGTGTGGGGGGGCGAGATGAGGGAGCCCCCACTCCTGGGGAGGTCGTGGCCCAAGAGCACAGGGAAAAGCTGGGTCAGCCACTGCCGCCTGTCTGGAGGCTGTTTGCTGAGGGGGGAGCTAGGGGCGCAGGCAGGGAACACGTCTGGGACTCTTGCCTTCGGTGCTCCCCGCTCTCTCTCTCAGCGCGCTCCCTCGCTCCTCGCTCCGCAGCCCCCCCGCTGGCGGAAATCTCAGCAGGCCCTTTGTTTTCAGTTCCCCCACAGCCTGGGCCGGCTCCTGCCCTCACATATGCTCCTGCGAGAGGGGCTAGGCCGCCCCCTCCTCCTTTTCCCTCACCCTCCTCCCTCCTCCCTTCTCCCTTCAGTGTACACACAGACTCCCCTACAGACACACAGCCCCATTGTCTTCCGCGGTGCCCTTCCCCGGCCCTCTGGTTTCCAGATGAGGCCAGCTGAGCCCCTGCCCCCCCCCCCCCCCCCCAGCTGACCCACCCTTACTGAGGGAGCAGGGGAGCGGGCTGTCAGGCCGTTTCCCTCCACCTCCTCCTCTGCCCCTCTCCCAGCTTCTGCCCTTCCCCCTCCCGGAAATCCCCTCTTCCTCTCCCATAGCCCCCTCCCCCCATCCTGTTTTCTCCCCTGGGCCTGGGCCTCCACTGCACAGCCTGGAGCAGTCTCGGCCCCTGCCTCGCCCCTGCCTCCCCCCTCCCCTAGCGCCTGAGCTGTGCAGCTGAGGCCCCCGAAGGAAAGAAGTGGTTGAACAGGCTCTGTCCCTCACCACCACCCCCTACCCTGCAAGCAAGGGTGTCCACAGCCCTGGCGGAACCTTTGTCCTGGCTGGGCCCCAAGCTGCTCAGGCTAATCTTCTGCCTGAAGCCTGGGGACTTGCCTTAGCCCCCTCCCTGTCTCCCAAACCACTAAATCAGCACATTCCTGAAGCAGCCAAGCAGACCCCTCCCCCGTGGCCCACCCCTCTTTCCCGGTTCCTGCCAGGGCTATTACTCGGGTTGGTCCAGGAAGGCTGGTTGCCCTGTGGGCACGGGCACACCTTTTCAGTGCCTGGGCATGTATTGTTCTTGGCATTGGTGGCATGGCCAGTGGTGGTAGTGGGGTCAGGGGAGGTGGGTGCTAGAAATCTTTTGGGCACCTGGGGCATGAGCCACCCGGGTCCTACAAAGTACCATCATGGACAGGGCTGTCATGTGGCTTCCGCTTCCGCCTTGATTTCTGCCTCCCACCTGCCTGACTCAGATCTGCCAGGAATGCCATGCCCGAGGGCCTTCAGTCCTACTGGGTGAGCCCTTGCCCTGCCTAGGCCGTGCAGGTTGTGCCAGGTGTGTGTGACTGGTCCTGGCCAGGGTCAGCAAGGCCATGTTGGTGGAAGGAGGTGCGCCAGCACGTTCCTTGGTGCTAACTGCCCGGTGGGGATTGGTGCAAGGTCAGAAAGCTTTGAGCGCCTGCTGTGCAGTGGCCAGAGTCTCGGCTGAGCTTGCCTGGAGGATTTTTCTTGCCCCAGCCTCTTGTGTGTACAGTGTAGTAGAACCTGAGCTGTGGAATCCAGGTTCTGCTTTTACCTTTGAGTCTCAGTTCTTTCATCTGCAAAATGGGGGCATGCAGCCCCTTCTCAGAGGCAGGTGCTTAGAACTGGATAGGAGTGTAAACAGTGCCTTAGAGTGAGCCTCCCCTTTTTGCTTTAGAAGACACACCCTCATGGGAGGAGGGAAGGGATGGGGTAAAGTGGCCCCAGACTGACCTTTGCTCTGGGTTCTTGGACAAGAACGCTAATGGGGGCTGGGCAGCCCTGCCACTTAATCTCAGTCCATCGCTGCCCCCCGACCCTGTCCCCCCAGCCAGTGAAAACTAACAGGGGTGGAGGGCAGGTGTCCTGTTCCTTTTCCAGTCCAGCTGCCCTCCTGGGGGGGAGGGGTACCAGCTGCCACCTGTTGGCCAAATGCTGTCGGAGGCAGCTGTCTGCCTCCACTGGGCCCAGAACCCCTCTCCCCAGGGTAAGAGGTAGGATCTTCTGGGGTCTGGCTGAGAACAGGTCCAGGGAGGGAGGGGGGGGTGGGGCCTGGGTTCTCCCTTCCCATAGCTGGAGCCTGACCCTGTCCGCTCCCCCTTCACAGTGAAGGAGTCTTCAAATGCCCTGAGGACCAGCTTCCTTTGGACTATGCCAAGGTGAGCCCACAGTGCCAGGCAGAGGCCCAGGTTACAGGCTTTTGCCCTTGGTGGGGGCTGGGGTTGCTGGCTGCCAGTCGGCTCAGGGCCAGTGTCAACCCAGTACCGTGGAATCCTGTGCCCCCACAGAGGGGGCCTCTTCCCTCCCACCGGGCCCGTTTGCAAATGAGGCCAGTGTTTGCCCTGGAGGGCAGGCACAATGCCCAGCCTGTGGGGGTGCACAGAGCTGCTCTGTGCCCAAAAGCAGCGCTCCCCTCCCCTTCGGGTGGCGAGCCAGACCCGTGGCTGATGGCCAGGACCCCTCTACCAGGAGGAAGGAAGCAGAGGATGTGGGGGCTGCCTGGAACTGAGCAGGCTGATTGGTTGCCACTCCAAAGGGAGTGTCATGTGCAGGCATGTTGGGGACCCTGGTATCCAGCTTTGGAGCAGATAACCACCTGCTGTGCCTTTTATCCCAGGGCACAGAGGGGAATATAGCTCC